CCGTCTTATTCGCAGAAAAAAAGTTGAAATTTGTAGACCAGTGTAATCATTATTTTCAACAACTTAACCCGAAAAAATTGCTTCTATCTCTCCTACCGTAAAATAAGTAATAATTAAATGGGTTTGAAACCTACTTTTTTATTTATGGTGGCATTTTTATTTTTTCTCTCTGACGTCAGGATATTTTAAAGGACATTGTAATTTCAAAGATATGATTAATTCCAAAAATTATTTCAAAAATTCAATGCAGAATAAAAATATGGGTACCAAATCAAAGAGGAACTTTCTTTAGAATTTAAAAAAATTTTAATTTTTTGTATTCACAAGCACGAACAGGTAATTTTTTAAGCAGATAAAGTTAGAAGGACGAAATTTAAGGACGTTATCGAATTTATATAAGTCATTAACATAACATTTTTTCAAAAACAAATATTGCGAAATTTCAGGGATACAATTTTAAAAGGACATTTTCAATACTTACCAGTCTTTATGCGCTTAAAAATTGAATCTGATTAAATTCTGCAAAATTTCCTCTTTAATTTGGTATCCATACTTCTTCTCTAAGGACATTTCACTGAACTTTTTAAATCATTTTTGAATTACTGACGTCAGAGTTAAAAACTAAAATATATATTAATTTTTGTGTGTAAAATTTACTATAGCACGGGGTTATATGTATAATAAGCTAGACATTTATAAAAAACTATTAATTATTACTGATCAAGAAATGGAGTTTCTATTATTGCCATCAGTGCAAATAACAAATCCCGAAAATCCTGGAATTTTTGGGACCTAAAAAAGGCAGGGATCTACGGATAGAAGCGGGAACTAAATTCTATTAAATGTACTCATATTTTCTCTCTCACGCAGAGCATCATGGCAAAGGAAAACAAAGCTTATGTACATACATACATCTTAAGATGTTCATCATTCGTTCAGTTTCGTTCTCTTTTCTATCCTTATTACGAGTACTATACATAGTAGGCGTCGTAGGGGTTACGCTTGCGCAAACATGGTATGACACACTCCAGTGTATTGCGGAAAGCTTCGCGAAAGTCACGGTTAAAATACGCATATATCAAGGGATTGAGAGTCGAGTTGAAATAGCCAATCCAAAAGAGTATAAGGACGACAACATCGGGACAGGGGCAGGCAGGACCGCAGAGCGAAGTTATTACGTACCTGAAAAGGAAGAATAAAGTAATCGATATTATATATGTGAATATATAAATGCTTATTTTAAGTTAAGTAGATACGTTTTTTTTAATTGTTAACAATTTTGGGAGAAAAAAATACACAATACACGAATACACAGAGAAAAATATGACACATAAAAATAAGAAGCTTGTCTTTATGAAAAGTTTCTGGGCTAATAAGGGACAAAATAGACGAAAAAATCGAAGAAAATTCCATAGAGATTTCTTGTTAATTTTATGTATAATTTTTCCTTAATTTTGTTTGTAAAAAATAGACAATGACTTGAAGATTGTATTTTTCCCATGTCTTCACAATAGATGTAGCCTAACGGATTCAAGTACGACCACCGACTTTTTGGTCGTGGATTCAAATCCTGTGGAACGGACCTTGTTTCTTCCTTTTTTCTTATTTCTTTCTTTTTTTTTTTCTTTTTTATTATTTTTTTTCTTACTTCTTTATTTTATTTTATATACATACATATATATTGATTTATTTTTTCTCAATTTATATTTTTAGAATTTAATTAGACAACCTTATAAAAACGAAAAGGTTTATTTTTTTTTTAAGATTTTCCCTCTGGAAGTAAGAGGAATATCTACTTAACATAAAACCGTAGACATATATTAGTTTTGTTCCATTTTATTAGGTGCTTTTTCTCTGTGTAAGAACAAAAAATGATCAATCCAGCTGCTTCGCCTTGAACTGTACCATATCTGCTAAACTTAAACGCAGAATACGTGACATTATTAAGTGCACATTCCAGTTGAAACTGTATAATAAATATTCGTTTTAATTTTACTGAATTGAATTCAATAAATCAATACAAATACAAAATATAATAATTTGGCAAAAGAGCAGCAGACGCACACTAACTGGAATCATATGTGCCATCATCTAATAAATATATGCTATGACGAGTAAGATACTGTGTTTTAATATTTGACTAGGTGGCAAACTCTTTAGGAAAAAATAAAACGTTATTGCATACCTGCCGGCCAAGCCATTTAATTTTATACCTATGTAGTGACAATTTTTTTTTTTGAAAAACTCATTTCTATCGATAGGGACAAATTTTAATCAATAAAAAAAAGAAAAATTAAATAATTATGTTCTCAAAAAAAAAAGCTCCGATTTATTTTACATTAAATTTTTTTACTTGTGGGGAAAAATTCGCCAAGTGTTAGAACTTTTCCCGTGTTTTTAGGTGCAAAAAAAAATGTATTTAAACAATGCACCATTTTTGTTTTGTTCGAAAATGACTTATTTCGATGGCTTATTTTTCAAGCTTTCTAATGATATATTGTTTGTAATGGGCGTGAAAAAAGGGCAACATGATCAGAAAAAAGTGGTATCACTTAATTGCAATTTTCTTTGGATGCAGTTGACAAATATTAAATTTCTTTTTGTATTAGTAAAAGCTATTAAATTTGCTATTATCCGCGTCAACAAGGCCATCCAACTGAAAAAGTGATTTAGGAGCAAATACAGGAGTTAAACAAAATTTTTTTTTAATGAAAGTAAACTTTTTGGAACTTTTGTTAAAAATTATGCAAACTTATCAATAAATCAATGTATAGCTGTAATGTAATGGCGTGTTTAATAAAAAATAATGAGCGAATTGAAAGCAACTTTTTTAACATGCAAACGCAATGTATAGCTTGTTTGTTGTTTTAGGTGAACGTTGCACGATCAAGAACTTGCTTTAAAGTTGCAATACAGTCAAACTGTTTTAATAACATACTCGCACTTCATCCGAGTCATTTCAAGTCGAGTGGCAACTTGATAGTCAAGTCAAATAGTTGATCACGTTTAGTCTGTTCCGGTATTCCAGAATTTAGTCAGATTTTGTATCAGATAAATCTGAGTACAGGAATGAGGCGCGTTTTTAAGTGGTTTCCTTGACGAGGCAACCTCAAACGCAAATTGGCTATCAAGTGCAGCCTTCAGCAATATGTGTGATCGATTTGATAGGAAATTCTTGATCGTGTAACGACACGATGCTACTGAAGAATAACAAGTTTGAGGTTACCAGGTCCTGCAGCGGATTTTTATAGTTTTCTCGTAACCGATTGGAATCGGTTCCTGAGCTTTAAATGGTTTCGATTTCGTTATTAATAAGGTCAAAATAAGGGTTACGGTTTCGGTTTCGGTTTTGAAAAAACGAAACGATTTTAAACGGTTACGGTTTCGGTTTCATTCCTTGCCAGTAATTAAGTAAAATAAAGGGTAATTCCTTTAATGTATGTATATTGAGCAATGGATATTAAAACCCCAATATACTTACATACAGTAAAAACTATTTGGAATTTTTTTTTAAATCATCTACTTACCATAGAAAAAATGGCAGCCAGCAGAGTAAAAATACGCCCATTATGATGCCAAGAGTGCGCGCAGCTTTGTGCTCAGCCTTCCAGCCTTTTGTCGGACGCACCGACCCGCCTAAAAAGTGCAAATACAATGATTTACGCATATAAATATCGGTAAAACTATGCATTTCAATAAGTTTTTATGTATTTGCAGTCACACACAGAGAATATTTATTTTACAGTGTTTATAACACAAATAAATAAGCTTTTTTTTGTGAAATTTATATTCAACAACACATCTAAGTAGATTAGCAAGAGCTTTTTGAACAATTTAGCCTTTTGTTTTGCAAATTGCAGATAGGTAAATATTTTAAATGCAATGTGTTTAGGTATAATAAACAAAATTTATTCGCAATAACACTCAGCATGTTTTACACACACACACACATTCGCAAATGGTTAAGCAAATAGTAGTGCACATTGCGATAGCAAGTAAATAGTAAAATAAGAGCTATGGAGAGTTTAGCAAAAAATGAGGTTTTAATAAAATAAATTGCATTTTTCTCTTATATAAACATTATTATGATGACAGAAAAATTCAACAGTTTGCATGAATGTAAATATGTTTTTATGTAGTTCAAAAATTCCACGCCCATGCACCCATCCACTTATGCCGCATTCCAAGGAAGATTGCCATATTATGGTGGGATGAATAATGTTAATTAAACATTTTGTTATTATTTCATTTTTTCGAAACACTAATATTTATTTTTCATTAATATTTATGTACAGTAGTGTGTTTAATAATGGAAATTAAAATAGTCACGTTTTCGCACTTTTATTCAGCAGAATATTATTTTAACAACGACTCAATAATTGGTTCACAATGCGTTTTTTGAAATAGGACATAAGTAGTATACTCTGACAAATAATATTGGTTCACAAATTTGTGTTTTTTTTTTGTTCCACGTGAGTAGCGAGCTTCCGCGTTTACTTTTTTATATTTGGGAAATTTTTGAGCTCTCTCGGTAAGTTCGGTAAAAACTCGCTCCACTGACGGCTCTATGACTGAAAATGAAATTGGAGATGCATGTCAACTGACGGGTCACAACATCTATGGACTTTCAGTTGGAAGTCTTTGTAATACTTACAGTACCAGACCGCTTAGCGTCAGGGTATGCAGTAAGAATAAAGCTACCCTAACCTTGATAACCACTCCTACTAGCTTAAAAAACTCGGCACCTCTGCATAGCTAAATTAACCACCAAAGACCAAATGCAATAAATATATGAAAAATGCATTTTGATAAGACTAAAGATAGAGGATAAAAACACTTAGAAGGAAATAAAGGGGTATAGAATCCAGACAATATTTTAAAACAAAAAAAAAACAATAAGTGCCGTTTTCTCAAGTAAGTCTTAAAATTTATCTGCCTTTCGAAGATATTTTTAAAGGGCAGATAAATTTTAAAACCCACCTGAGAAAACGGGTCTAAATGGAGAACTAAGTTCGAGGTGAGTAAAATTAGATGGACACATTCGAGGTTTTACATACATATGTACCTATACATATTATGCATGGATGTATTTAGAAGATTGTATACATAAAGTTCCAGAGTACACCTTAACATTTAACAATCATATAATGCCGATCTGTTGAAATTTACTACACTTAGATTTAAAGAGGAAATATTTATATATGGACATTTGAGTGTCAAATTTTACGACATATAGAAAAAAAAGTGCGTTTTAGCTTCATAGTTCGAATTTTTCTTCAAAGTAAACGAATGGGATAATTAAAGACTTACATATTTCCACGGTTTCAATAGTGCTGCAACGGTAGCCATCGTCAGGAATTTGATTGTTTCGTTTTTTCTCAAAGTATACTTGTGTACCTACATTGCCTACGAGTACATATGTATGTATGAAGAATTTATATGTAAGTAACTATGCAAATGTATGGAGACAAGTATATTCAAAATTTTACGTATGTAAGTACATTTGTCTACTGCGCTTTACATGCATTTTAGTTAGCCGAATTTGTACAACATTTTTCTTTTGCAACTTCGATTTTTTCATTATTTATTGGTCCATTTTACGTAGTATAACTAAATATATTTTAATTTAAATACCTCGATATTATTCGATCGCTTTACATAAGTATATCGTCACCTGAAATGTAAAAAGGCGTAACAACATCGTAACTGAAATGGAAAAAGTCGTGACTAATTTTATTTTTTTTTTTTTTTATAAAATGATGTGGGAGTTGGGGAAATCCATCATATCAATCAAAAACTGAATTTTGAATTTTTTACTAGTTACGACTTTTTGTATTTCAGCGACGATGTTTGTTACGTCTCTTTGCATTTCAGGTGACGATATGTACATAAGGGCTTCTTTTCACTTTGTCAAACTAAATAGCATTTGTAGTCAAATAAGTGAAAACACATTGTCAAACAGGATTAAGGAGCGGACGATTTCGATCAGAATAGGTCCTTTAGTCCACTACTTTTGGTCCATAACTTCATCGGTAAAGGTATGCATAAAGGAGGTAAAGGTATACAACTTTGTCGACATATTTTGACTTTAAAATTTGACATAGTGAAAACCAGCCTTAAGTACAAGCCCCATCCTTTCCGCGCTCAAATGACAATGAACATAAACATTTCCGAAAAATGACACTTATACCTTATGTAATGATAATGACGATATGTAATACATAAAAACATAATGAATCATTTTAGAATTAGCTTAAATTAGCAGATTAGCAGCTTAACTGAAGAATAAAAACACAGTGCAACAAATTTAAACTTTTTGCTGCAACAGAATACCCAATAATTATTTTTAAATGAGGGTATAATCCTGCCTATTTTCGCTGAACATTTCGTGTTGTTTTATTTTCACTCAAAAGCAAAGAGGTCATATCGGGTATCTTCGATAAAAATATTACTTATCAAAAATTATGGGACTTTCAGCTGTATGTCGGGTAAGCCACGTGTCTGAATGTGTACTTTAAGTTCAAGTTCATTTTCGGCCCCCGAAAATGCTGTTGCATTGCTTTATTGGTTTAAGATACCTTCAGCAATTTGACGTTGAGGTGGACTGTTTAAACAAGGCCATGGGATAGGCGCTTACGAATTTGTGCCCGAAAAAATACCTTTGGGAAGAAACCTGGCACACTTTGGTGAAATGATAAACTTGCCACAAGTGTTGCAGAAATAATGTCTGAGACCAGTACAACACATCTTCAAAAAGGTCATGCGGGACGCCAAAGCGCTCTCTAACGGGAATTATGCGAATTCATGGAGAATACCAAGAAGTCAGTCCGGCTGAGCAAAGTCCTCGTCAAAGGACATTCTCAAACAAATCATATTAACACATCAATTGGTTCGTGAACCGAGTTGGCCGGACGTTGTACATACCCCTGAGTGCATACTTCCCAGCTTATAGGGTTGGCAACTCGAGACCGCTGCTCTAAGCCTTTCCTCCTGCAAATCTCAGATTATCAGTAAGATTCGGAGGAGACTATTTCGATTAAGAGGTGGCTTGCACTTTTAGAAGAGTCTAAGGCCTTTATTACTAACGGACTATCCGACATTATATTTAATCTGGCTCCATTTGCCTTTCTACGAAGAAATTCGCGCACACAGACTTCGACGGCAGGGGAATAGGATTGGGTACGATATGCCCATTGACGGGATATTTTGGAATATTGGTCCAAGGACACCTGCCCTAGTACTCCTGTCGTCCAACTTCGATCCATCGTTATATCATGCTAGGGAGTTTTCGTCAATCATAGTTATTATCGCTTCACATGATGTCCGTAAACTGGATATCGGTCTCATCAAGGAATAGCTTGAGGACCACCAAATAATGCCGAAGATCTGATCTTTTCATGCTGATTGCACTGGGTAGCCGTAGCTCTCGCAGACCTCTTTTTTAATCAGAATATACAGCGCATCCATTGAACAATAGGCATAGCTCGTGTTTTGGCTACGCAGACCAGTCGGTGCAGCTTGCATAAGCTGGCACCCACGTTTACTAGCTTAGCTTTTAGCCACCATATGCCGCATATGTATCAACATGTTTTACCAAGTCTTATCATACACTCCTTGCCCTAAAACTATTTTAATTTGTATATTATGTTATTTTAAACAAGAGAATATTTGTTCAATTTAATTCTCATAATGTTATTTTATTTATTTAGTTTAATTTAATTTATTTTTCTTTTTAATGGTTTTTTAATATAAAGATTTTGTTGTTTTAAAAATAAACATATTTTATTTTGAATTCATTCCATTTTTAGAATTTATTTCATTTTTTTCTTTTAATTTAAGTTGCTTTTACTTTCAGGTTTAATAGTCTTCAAAAGAATTTTTGTTAATTTAATTTCAGTTTTATTGTTATAAAAAGAAAAATCATTTGCTTAATTGAATTTTTAGAAAAAAATATTTTTCTATATACATTTTTTATTTTTTTATTTATGTTAAAGTTGATTTTTATATTTAATTATTTTAAAAAGAAAAAAAATTAATATAACTTGTTTTACTTTTTTCTATTTTAGATTAAATTTTTTCTTATGTTAATTAAATTTTCTTTTAATTTTTATATTACTTATATTATTTTATAAAGAATTTTTGTTTTATTTTAGTTAAGGTATAGGAGCCCTTTTATAAACTTGTTGTTCTTAATTTATTTATTTTTCTTTTTAACTAAATTTTCTTTTAGGTTTTGGACTTTGTTGTTTTAAAAATAAGCATATTATATTTCAATTTCAATTAGGTTTTAGAAACTTATTTTATTTATTTATTTTTTTAATTAATTTTGAAATTTTAGTTTTTATTGTTAAAAAAAATATTTAATACAATAACAAGAAAAAAATATTTTCCTTTTAATTTCATTTGATTTTTACAAAACTTATTGCCAAAAGATAGCAGACCTTACAATTAGTATTTCGAAAGACAGAAAAGAGCAATCAAGATAAATAGTTGCCAGAATTGACAATTGCCTTCCGAAAGACTTTCTGCCATGGCTATATTATTGCAAAAAAAAACTTTAGATTTGCTTTGTGCATATGTAACCGGTTTCAAATGCTTCGCAAATATTGTCAAAGTAACTAAATCAA